CATCCACCACCCCCCACCCCGGGTCTGCTCCCCTCCCATGTCTCTCTCTGCTGGTGGCACCGCGTCTGCCCCAGGCTGAGGTCGGCAGTCGGACGTCAGGTTCCACCCTGTCCAGCTGGACCGCAGGTCCTGCCAGGGGCACCTCCGTGTCTGTAAACAGTCTCTGTTGTAAAGACCCGGCTGCTGCCCGGGGTTCAGCAAGCCCCCCAACTACTAGCTACGACAGCCCCATCGGCCTCTGCCCTGGCTGGCCCCGATCTCTTGCACCTGTGTTCTGGGGGGGGTTTCCCCCGATTTCGTGCACCTGCGTTCTGGGGGTGGTGTCCACTCACAAACCACCAGCCAAATACACGGTCTTTGCAGACCGTGACAATGGCGTGGATGGAGAAAAGCCCCGGTGTGTGGTGAGAGAAGCCTAAGGAGGTGGCTTCTACGCTGAGACCTCGGAGGCAGGACTTGGTCACTGAAGGGCCTGGGCTGGGAGGTCATTCCAGGCGGAGGAAGTATCTGCTAAGGCCCTGAGGTAGGAAAGCAGAGGCTGGTGCAAGGTGCGGAGGGGCAAAATGTGGACGGTGGGGCAGGGCTGGGGGGGGCAGCGGCTGGGTCCCGAGGGTGCCCCAGGTCATGGCTGGGAGTTCGCATTTTTTCCTAAAGGCAACAGGAGCCACTGATGGCCTCACAGGCTTGGTGCCGCGACCTGACATGCGGTTAGACCACCCTGGTGGGGGCTGTGTGGGGGGGGATGAGGGGGACAGCGTGAGCGAGGGTGTTCAGTGACCCCAGCTGGGCACGAAGCAGGGGAGGGAGAGCTCCCAACACTTGGCCGTAACTATGGGAGTGAGCCCAGGGAGGGCTCCCCACCCCACCGCGAGCTCTTTGAAGACCAACATTAAGCTTTATTCTTCTCTGTAGCCGCAGGACTGAACCCGGGTCTGGCGCCTCGAGCCCGAATGTTTGTTACACAAATGGTAGTGTATTCTAGTGCAGCTGTGTGTCCTCTGGTCCGGTCCCATCACCCCACTGTCACCGAGCAGACGAGCAGTGACCTGGCATTTCCTTGTCCCAGTTAAGGTATAATTACCGAGCCTCTTCAACCTCGTTTCAGCTCTAGAGACGTAGGGGGGATGGAACGGGCACCCCACACAGTTAACCCTGGGGCCCCGCACCTGCCGGGTCGCGGGGGGGTGGGGGCGCGCCGTGGGCCCTTCTGCAGGTGCCAGCGTCCGCAGTCCGAGCCCCGGTTCTGCGTCTCAGGGGGCTGCTTCCGGCACAACCTCACCCCCTCCCTCCAGGTTTGCAGTTTTCTGATTGGCCGAGAAGCTGAATGTGCTAGAGCGACGGGAGGGCAAGCTTCGTGGCGAAGACGGTGCCGTAGCCGCGGACCGGGAGAGCCCGAGGAGTCTCAGCTCGGCCCCCGCCTTGCCGGTGGCACCGCCAGCCAGTTTCCTCATCTGTAAATCGGGCACGCTTGCAGCTTTAGGACTGTTGTTGTTGTGAACGCTCCAGGCCGACCAGGAACACGTCCCGTGAGGAGCGGGAATGGGGCTCCACCCTATCTCCGGGGAAAGGCACCCGGTTGGGGGGAGGGGGGACAATCGGTGCTCTGGGCTCCCCCACCCCCCCGGCCTCTGGAGCCTCCACCCACATCAGTGCTGAGGTTCCCGTGGAAGGGGCCTGTGTCCCTTCCCATCTGTCCTAAGTGAATCGGGAAGAGCCTGGGGTCCGCGGCTGGACCCCCTGTGGTTGGTGGGGCGAGGAAGGGGCTGGGGTTGGATGGGCAGGGTTGCCTGGTGAGAAGCTGAGGCCGGAAGCTGTATTTCAGGGGGCTCAGCACGAGGGTGGGGCGCTCAAGGCCAGAGCAGGGCTCCCACACCAAGGGTCAGCCTGTAGGGAGGCTGAATCCAAACCCGAAGTCCAGGGCACCGGGGTTGGGAGGAGAGGAAGTCAGCACTGAGCGAGCAGGGGCAGGAGGTGACCGCAGCCGTGCCAGTCCGCCTTCATGAGGTGTGGGCTCCCAGGTCAGGGCTCCAGCACACCGGGGCTGCATGAGGTGTGGTCAGACCTGCACGGAAGCAGCCAGAGGCCAGGGCATCCCCCGAGGCTGAGCCTGGTGCTGGGGTCTGGGCTCCCAGAGCACCTGCATTCCGTCCTGCTGGAGAATCTGCACCAGGCGAGTGCCCGTATTTGGGGTCTGGGGGCCGTGACCATCCAGCTTCCTAGGCCCGCGACACAGTGACAGGACCTGGACCTAGCACGCGGCAGGCCCCAGGGCACGAAGCGTTGAATTAACACGAGAGACCCCGAGTTCGGCTCTACAGGTGCTCCCTGTGCACCTACAATGTGCTCTGTTCCTGACGCATTCCTGCCTGTCCGGGGGGAAGCCACCTGCTTCGACCCAACACAAAGACTTCCTGGTAACACGGCGGCTTCACAGATACCGGCCGGTCCGGTCAGCCTGGGCACCTCCGAGGCCCTGACCAGGGCACCCCACCACACGCCCAGCCGGTTCCGAGTCCGGGCTTCCTGTGGGCCCATATGCCAGGCAGGCCCGGTGACAGGATGGCTCGGAGCCAGGCTCGCACGCTGGGGCACCCAACCCGATGAAAGATACAGGTCAGCTGCTGAGACTATCGGTTTTACTCTGAAATTTAGAACCGAAACGTTACAAATTCTTACACACACGCACAGGCCAGAGAAGGTGAGTGGACTTTTCCCGCTCCGGAGCGGGACAGAAGGGACATCTAACGCAAGCGCCTGAGACCAAAGCACGTGTCCCTAACGGAATCTGCACCCGAGCTGGGCCGCATCAGATCGTCACCTCCTAATCTTCTCACACCACGAGCCCGTTCTCTGAACACATCTGGGGATGCCCGATCGGTGGCATTCTGGGGACACAGCCCTTAACATGTGAGCATATCATCTCTGGGTTTTGCACTCCTGTCCCGTCCAAAATCTGCTGCTACCAAGATTCGTTACCTGAGCCAAGACTGATTTGGGATCAACACAAGATCTCCTTTTCAGGAATTCTTAGACACTGGATGAATTCTAGGTCTGATTCTGCCCTGACTTACTCTGTGGGGATAGGTGACCCCCACTCTCTGGTCCCGTTTGGCTATGTGTGAACTCTCTCTGAGCTGCCTTTCAGCTTTAACATTCTGTGTCTGGCCTTTATTCCCTGCCCAAGTGGGTAATGGAGATCCGACTACAATTTACTTAGATCCAGCTAAAACGTGTTGTGAGCGTGCTTTCATATACGTTATTCGCCCGCGTTCTAGAAATCTCAGAAAAGTAGGTGCTATTATCTGCATTATCTAGATTACAAAACAGAGGCTCAGAGAACTTGAGCGTGTGCGCTGAGGTCGTGGCGCGGAGATTCAGTCTCAGGCCTGCCTCCAGCTTCCTCCACCCCCCTAATCCAGCACTCTGCTCTGGTGTGGGGGATGCAGGTGGGCTCCAGCTGGGCCTGGGGCTGCAGGCTGCCGGCAGGCGCAGGTGGACTTGGGCTGGCAAAGGTTGGCAATGTTCCGGAAGGCCCGTGAAGACAGCCTATCGAGGGCTGAGAGCGGCGTCTCTGGCCCAGCCTGGGTCTGGCTCTCCCAGGTGAGTCCTCTAGGCCCCGTCTGTGCTTGGAGCCCAGGAGCTGCCAGCTTTCTGCTCAGCTTTGCCATCGGCGAGCCTCTCCCTGCCGTGTGGCCTGCCGTCCCCAGAGATGGGCCCTCGAATATTCTTGTCCACATTTCCCAGTCCCCAGAAATCATCCGACGCCAGCAGACAAGGGCAAGGAAGGAAGGGGCGTACTGCAGACGCCGGGCTCAGACCCGTCCCCACAACACGGTGGGCCGGTTCGGGCAGGGTTTTTATTCCCGACACTTGGGCCACTTCCATCACCACTGGTCTCCATGCAGCAGTGGCTTTGAGACCCCAGTGCTCTTTTCTGAGCCTGAGCGGCCGACTGGTGGTATGACACTGGACAAGTAAATTTCTCCCTGTGGGCCTCAGCATCCTCCTCCAGGCAACAGCTAGCTGGTTGGAGCCCCCACGGATCTCGGGTCCCTTCCAGCGATGACATTTTAGGAACCACTGTCTTTGACTTTCCCTTCCCAGAGGCATGGAAACGGAGCAGTCGCCTCTGGAGAGCGCATCGAGCTTAAAAATTGCCCTCGCTCTCGGTTGCTCCTCCCTCCCTCCCTCCACGCCAGAGGCGCACCCCCACCCCGCCCTGGCCCTCGGGCAGATCCAGGCCCGGCCCCGTAGTCCTGCAGCTCGGGAAACGCGAGGGCAGCGGGACTGCGGCGGTGGCGGAGTCGCAGCGGGAGGGGGAGGAGAGCAGCGCCCGCCTGTCCCGCGGCCTCCGCAGCAGCCCTGGCCCTGGTCCCCGCGCGCCAGAGGGGGTTCCTGGCACAGCCGGGTCTGGTGCTCGGGCCTGGGGCCGGCCGGGAGCTCATCGCGCCCGATGGCACCGAACCGACCCCAGCGGCCCGCACCCCCCAACTCGGCAGAGCTAGGGCGGGCTCTCCACTCCGAGCGGCTGTGGAGCAGGGGACCCAGGCGCTCGGACGCCTCCGTCTCGCCCTCTCCAGGCCTGGAGCAGACTGTCGGAGCTGTCGGGGGCCGCGGGGTGGCAGTGGGGGTGGGGGGCACCATTTCTGGCTGGATGTCGGTCCTCATTCATCGTCTATCCCCGGTCCTCCGGAACCCCGTCTCCTCCCGCACCCCGTCGCCCCCCAGCGCCTCCGCGTCTCGGCCCCTGTGTCCCTGCCTCCCACGGAGCTCTCCGGGTGAAGGGCAGCCGCAGCCCGCGCCTACTCCCTGCCCGCAGTCCCTGCCCCCTCTGCCCGCCGCGGGGTCACCCGCCCGCCAGGGCCCAGCCTCCGCTCGCACCGGAGGCGCCCAGAGGGGAGGGACCAAAGTTCGGGCGCCGCGGGCCGGCGGAAGGCCCCGGGGTGCCGAGGGTGGCCGCGGCGGGGGCGCTGGGAGGTCAGACGCGGCGGCGGCCTCACCTGTTTCTCCAGCGGCTCCTTGGCTGAGAGCGCAGGCTTGGGGGAGGGCGCGCGGTCGCAGACGCAGCCCTCCAGCAGGTAGAGCCCCGAGGGCCGCGAGCTCGAGTCGCTCTCGAAGTAGAAGAGAAGGTTCTGCAGCAGCGCGAACCACTTGGTTTGCCATTTTGTGTTGTCCGAACTCCGCTTGCTCAGGTAGCCTTTGCGCGTGCCGTCCTTGCGCGCCAGCAGTCCCAGGGACGCGACGTGGCCATCGTTCAGCCGGATCCCCTTCTGCATGGTGCTCGGAGGCCAGCGAGACCCCACGCGCTTACATCTTCTCCGCGCGACACCCCGCGGCCCCCCGTCCGTGCGCGCGGCGCGCTGCCTCTCTCCGGCGCTCGCTCGCTCGCTCGCTCCTGGTCGCTCTCCCCTCCCCCCAAATATCTACACTCCGGGAGCTGGCGCCGGGCCGCGGCTTCTGGAAGAGAGATGTACCATTCCCCGCCGGAACTTCTTCTCCGCCCCGCGGCGCCCCCGGGCCCCGGAGAGGCCGCCCGACCCTCCCCCGGCGCCGGGCAAACTGAGGGACTGGCGAGCTGCGCGCGGGCGAGGGGCAGGCGGAGTCATGTGACGCCGATCCCTCGAAGAGCCCGTGTGAGCAGCGCGGACAGAGACACGCACGCAGCCCGCCGAGGCGCAGAGCGGCGCGCAGGCTGCACCTTGGCGCCCCCTCCCCCTCCCCGGACGCGGACGCACACACAAGCACACGCGCAAACCCTGCCCCTGTCCCCGCGGTCTCCCCTGCTCCCCTTCGGGTGCTAAAAACCAAATCAGATCAATTTGCGTTTAACCCCATGGAACCCCGGAGGCTTGCCATCCTGGGAGTGTGCCTCTCTGCGCCCCACCGCGGCGCACTGGCGACCCGGGGTTAAGTTCCAGTTTTCATTTTCTCTTCCAAAGGCTCCCTCCCGGTACTTTATTTTTCTAATCCGATGTGGATGGAAGAGGGTGGTGGTTGGCGAAATAGCTCTGAAGGAGCTTTCGGTCCTATTCTTTGCGTAAACGGCCGGGTCACATTCATTTCAGGGTCCAGCCGCACTCCCGGCGGCTTCCCCAGCGACCTGAGGACCGCACAGGGGGTGCGGTGGGGGAGGGGTTAGGTGAGCGCTCATTTTATTTTGTTTCATTTTGCGCGTTGCCATAATTACCGGCGCCACCCCCCTCCCCTGCGCCCCCGAGGTCTAGCAGGCGAGCCGCCGCCGGGAGTTTTCTGCAAATACCCCCCCAAAGCCTAAAGGCGGGCTTCAAACGCAGGCGCCGGGGACCATGGGAGCCTTCAAATAGCTGCGCTGGCGCAATGATACCTTAATGATAGATTTTCCGTTCTTATTTTTAGCTCCCATTCGCCTACACAGTTACACGGCATTTATCCGGGAACGTCACCGCGCCCGCATGCTGCACCGGCAGGGCGCGCGGGCCGCCGGGCGAGAGGGGCGCCGGGGCGGGGAGCGCGCACCGCCGGCTGCCGCAGAGGGACCCAGGGGGGCGCCCGGCCCGGCGTAGCGCGCTGGCGGCGGCGGAGGGCGGCCGCGCGGCCCCGAACTGGGAGGGAAGGAAGGAGGGAGGGAGGTAGGGAAGGAAGGAGGGAGGAACACCATCTTACAGCACCGAACCTGCGAGCACCCCTCCCCGCCGGCGCGCGCGCGCGCACACACACATACACACACGCACACGCTCACACGCTCACACACACGCTCACACCGCCCTGGGCTGGCGCAGGGAAGGGGCCCAGGAATCAGGTAGCCGTGGGGAGGAGGCCCGCCGACTCCGCTCAGAGGAGACGCCGTGCGCGGTCCTGGGCACCAGGCTCCGGCCTGCCCTCCTCCGGGGAAAGCGCTGGGGAGCGAGACCGTGTTAACCTTAATGCGCCCTCTTAGCGTCCACGCTCCCCGTGCGCGGACTCTGCAAGGAGCCGATTCTCTTCACGAATAATAAAAACAAAAGAGGCGAGATGGCTAAGCCTCACGGTTCAGTCTTCATTTTCCCCAGAGGGACCCTCCGCTGTGACCGCCTTTGCTTCTTTCTCTCCCTCTTTGGGGAAGCAGTTTCCAGGAGTGAGGTTCTTAACCCCAGCTCTCATCTAAACTCCTTCGTTGGGCCTGTTGATAGTGAGGCCCACAAAACTCCAGGGAAGGGGCAGTCTGGTCAGGGCACTCCACAGATGGGTCAAGTCGTTTAACCCTTCGGCCACCCTGTGGGGTAGGTGGCCCCACCCCCACCAGCTCTGTCGTCCAGTTGGGGAAAACGAGGCTCGGAGGGCAGAGCTGGGGTTTGAACTGCGTCGTCTGTCCCCAGGGTCTATGTACAGCCGAGGGGGTAGTCCCTGGGTTGCGGGGTGGGGCTTTTATCCTAAGACGGGGCAGGACCTCTCAGGTGGGCCAGAGCCCAGGTTGGACCTGCAGGGCAGCCACTGTGACAGAGACCCTAAGGCACCTGAGACTGCACACAGAAATCACCTGGGGTGTGTGACAAGCAGCCACGAAAGGCTGTGAGTGGTTTACGTGCTCTCCTGGGTGGTTTTAATGTGCAGCAAAGTCAGACACCCACCAGCATGTGGCGGGCCCAGGGATTCTGTCGTGGGCACCGGAATCGCCAGGGGTCTTGTTAAAACACAGGCCCTCCTTGCGGGCAGGGTCTGAGAGCCTGCGTGTGAGTGAGCTCGTTGGCGATGTGACCCGGCTGGACCGCAGATCGCCTTTGGAGGTGTTCATTCATTCATCCACCCATCCATTCGTTCATTCCCTCATGCACGCCTGTCCTGGCAGCACTCACTGAGCCCCCAGCACTGAGCCCCCAGCCTGGGCCGCTGGGGACGCAGGGATCCACAGACCACAGCCCCTGCGCCCTGGCATTCAGGCCTCCAGTGCTCCTCTCCCACAGCGCGCTCAGTGTGCCCCCGGGGGGGGGGGGACACCTTCCCCTGAGTCTGGGGACACGTCTCTGTAGACGAGGACGCATGAAGGAGCATTAAGGAGCATTTTGGCGGGTTTGATGGCCCCACATAGAAATGGCTAGCAGATGACAGGGACCTCGGCCTGGCCAGACCCCTGCGAAGTCCTCCCGGCAGGTTTTCTACTGCACTTTGCACGAAGTCAGCTTGCGCGTTGCTTGCGATGGGTGGTCTGTGGGTCTGGCTGGTCTGTGGGTCCGCCCGGCTTCGGGCCTGGGTGCCCGAGGACTCCTGGGGCCTGCGTGCGCCCTCCGCTGTGTGCGTGGGAGCTTCTGGGTGCTGCTGTACGTGTGCGTCTGTGTGCACACACGTATGCCCTGTGAGTGGTGAGCGGGTAGGTGTAGCATTTGGAGAAGCTTTGCTCTTCTCGCACTGTGTTAAAAAAACACAGCTTCCACGTCACCTAAAGGAAATGCAGAAGTCAGTATGTGGACTTGGAAGCGTTTTTGGCAATGGAGGTCTGGCCGGGAGGGTTTGCTGCTCCAGCGCCGGGGCCCGCGGGTCGCTTCTGCCAGGCACCCGCGTGCGGACACAAGGGCTTCTCGCCTTCACTCCCCAGCCGGGGACGATAACCGTGTTATTCTGTCTGATGGTAGGTGTAATAAGGCTCTTTGTCAAACGTGAACATGGAAAATAAAAGGACAACTCTTCCACGGTTCTTTGGGTTTTTTTTCTTGGGTTTTTTTTTCACTAATTTTCTTGACTTTTTTTTTTCAACTTTTTTTTTTTTTTTTTTTATTTTGGGACAGAGAGAGACAGAGCAGCATGACAGGGAGGAGGGGCAGATGAAGGAGGAGAACCTAAGAATCGAAACAGGCTCAGAACTCTGAGCCATCAGCCAAAACCCGGCTTGCGAGCCAGCTCAGAGACTCGAGCCCAGCCCGACTCTTGACCTGAGCTGAAGTTGGGCTGGCTTAACACCTGGCTCTCTTCACCATGCCCAGAGCCCCTCTTGACTTTTTTCTACGCTAATATATTTGCCGAAATGGGCTTCCGCAAACACAAGCTATTTGAAATCTCCATCTCGCTCGCTCCCTTCACTTCACAGTGTGTGGGGACAAGTTTTCATATTACCGTGAATTTAATGAATAGATTCTTCATGCTTAGGCATTTCTGCTGTTTTTCCGTTCGTGGTTTTTGGAAATAACACTGCAGTTAATATCTTTGTGTATACATTTCCCTCCCTGTGGCCACATTCCTGAAAGTGGTATTTCTGGGTTAAGGAACGTGCGTTTGAAACACGGGTACATATTATACTAGATTTCCAGGGAGGTCACTTCCTCTGCATGGCTACCCCGGGTGGATGGGAGGCCCACGTCAGCACCCGCCTGTCACTCCTGGATGGCCGTGCTATGCACCTCTTGAAATTTGCCCGTTTTGAAAGGGCAAAATGACATCTCCTTCTTGTATTAATTTTTACTTCTTTTATTGCTTGTGAGGTTAGACTTTTTTTGTAATTTTTTAATGTTTATTTTTGAGAGAGAGAGAAACAGAGTACAAGTGGGGAAGGGGCACAGAGAGAGAGACACAGAATCTGAAGCAGGCTCCAGGCTCTGAGCTGTCAGCACAGAGCCTGAGGTGGGGCTCGAACCAATGAACCACGAGATTATGACCTGAGTTGAAGTCCGACTGAGTCAGCTTAACTGACTGAGACACCCAGGTGCCCCAAGACATTTTTAAATGTTTATGATCCTTTGCACTCCTTCTTTTGTGAATTTCTTGTTAACACCTTTTTCCAGATGTGTTAATATTTTTCTTGTTGATTTGCCACAGTCCTTTATATAGGAGGGAGCTTAGCCATCAGCTATAGTGCGCGTTGCAAATAATTTCCACAGTCTGTTGATTGTCCTTAATCTTGCGTATATCTACTATGCCTGTATATTGTGTATGTCTTTATACAGGCTGTAAGAAATTTTACAGTCTGAACTGTATAGACAAATATTTTTCCTTATGGTTTCTGACTTTCGACTCTCCCTGTCTGCAGCCCCCCTTCCCCTGTCCTTGTACCAATTCCTTCAACACTGAAACATATCTGTCCACACTTTCTGTTTTTATGGTTTCATTTTTTCCACTTACAATTTTTTAATGTTTATTTATTTTTGAGAGACAGAGAGACAGAGCACGAGCCAGGGAGGGGCAGAGAGAGAGAGAGAGATGGAGACACAGAATCTGAAGCAGGCTCCAGGCTCCGAGCTGTCGGAACAGAGCCGGATGTGGGGCTTGACCCCCATCACTGTTTTTTTTTGTTTTCTTGTTTTTTTTTGTTTTTTTTTAAGAGAAGAGGGAG